AAAATGTTTTGCACTGCTCTTGCCAAATATTATTGCTGGAATATTTGGCAATCCGTTCGAACCTTGATCCTTTACGGCTCGATCGATCAAATTATTTTTCAATGTTCGTTGAATTTCAATACCCACGAAACATTGATATTTTTCAGTTCATCGTCAGGACATTTAGCACTAACACTAGAAGAACCAACATAAGATGGTTCGAAACTGTTTGCCATTCTTTTGGAGATGATGTAGGCAGGAGATATTTTAAAATGTTCAAAAATAATGTTTTTTCAGTAATTCTAGCCCAAAACCTTCATTATATTTATGAACCGATAATTCAGTAAATCTACCAAATGTTTTGGGCCATAATCAGCTTGAAAACACTATTTTGCAATATTTTAACATATTTTTATTTATTTATGTTTGCACAAAAAATGTCAACATTACATCGAGGAAGGAATAGGAAGCATTTGTTAGGGATAGTGGAAACATTTTAAGAAACACTCTATCCAAATCAATCCAGTTTAGATCCTAAAAATTCCGGCACGCAAAAAATTAAGATTAGAAATCAGAGTTCAGCAGACATTTCGGAAAGTTCACTAAAAGAAATATACAGGGTCTAAAAAGGATGAAAAATAGCAAGGCTCCGGGTGACGATGGTGTCGTTACAGAAGCGAAAAATATCGGAGGATTAAACCTGATGACCAAGGCTAAGAACATCCTCATTCCATGCCTGGAAAGTCAATATATCCCAACAAAATGGAGAAAATCAATAATTTTACTTTAACGTACCAATCGAGATATTGCAAATCTTGAAAATTATAGACCAATTAGCCTTCTTAACCATCTTTATAAAATGTACACCCGAATTATTAAACTTATTAAGCAAAGTTGGGCTTTTGGCAACCTCGGGAGAGCTTGCGTTCCGTTCCTAGTACTACACAAGCCGGGCAGCAGTGCTTGAAACCCTTGATGATGAAAAAACCATAGCATATAATCGCCCTTAAGCTTAAAGCATGAAACCAGCAAAATAAATATTTGAAATGGAGTCAGGGAGGACCATTCGACGTCACCAGAACTGTTTCAACGACTTCGAGCACGCATTTAAACAGCTAGTATGGCAACAGAAAGGAATACATATCGATTGACAGACTTAACCACCTGCGATTTGCAGATTATATCGTTATTATATCAGATCATTTGGGAGAATCTAAAGATATGCTCTAAGAATTTAACAACATATCACAAGAACAAGAAATCGGAACGATAAATTTGGACAAAACCAGAATGAGAACAAATATGGTTCCCAGCGAACACATACACATCGACAGTAACGCAATATAATTAGTCGACAAATATGTATACTTGGGCCATGAGATCCGGGTAAGCACATACAACTAAACATGCGAATGAACAAGACGTATCACCTTGGGATCTACATCTCAACTCATCTCAAGCGGAAAGCGTTTAACTAATGCATATTAACAGTTTTGACCTAAGGTGCAGAGGCCCTTACTCTACCGAAAAAACAGAGAGTTGAGCAAAGACGAATGGAGAAAGTGATGCTCGGCTTGACTTTGAAGGATTATAACGAAATGAAGAGATACGCCAACGTACCGCAGTGAACGATATCATCCACCGGATCGCAGATCAAAAATGAAAATTAGAATGGAAAAGGATTTCTGGAATAGAGACCGCGAGCCGACAAGCGCATCCGAGGCAGATCTCCCACCCGATGGAGGGATGACCTGAAGAGAGCGGGAACGACATTAATTCATCAGTTTAGAACTGGAGACGTTTAGAAGAGACTTATGTTCAACAGTGGCCGTGACAGGGCTGGAACAGAATCCTGTAAATCTTAAACTTTACAACTTTAAAACATGCAATAGAAAATTAGCCTTCATTAGCATTACAAATGTGTGTACTACCTTTACACCTAGCTATGGGAATTTCCCAATATTTTTTACTATATATAAAATATGTAAATTAACAATAGCAAGTTTGCATATTTGAACTATATTGCCATCACTAACTGCCCGCATTTTATTTCTACGATTTATTACAATGACTGTGCATTTTCAACATAAATTATATCTGGGGGAGAACAGTTTTGTCTAAATTGGAACAGAACTACTATAGTTGGAACATTCCCAGCAACACAGAATATACACCTATTTGACTTTTTTACGCAGTTTAAGTTTATGAAACGCACTTTGAGACTTGTTTGTTAAAAACATCAAGTTTGACAAAAATAGTTTGCTGGAATTATGTTCCTAAATGCAAATTAATGCACTTAAAGGTAAATGGATGCTATTTTTGTGGTAGTCTTCTGAGTAATCATAGGCCTGATTAAATATTTTTTATACAATGTGTCCGGGTTAAAAATGTAACGTCTTTAACAAATCTGTATTTTTTTATTGATTTGAATAATTATCTTTTTGTTAGTTAGATATTACAATTATGTATTCGACTAGTGGTTCTATCTCATTATGTCCATAAATTAGAGTTTATAAATTTTATTAATTTTTATTAAAGTATCATTAGAGCAAATTTTCACTTCAGATGGAAAGCGAGCGGCCCGAATACGATCCATTTAATGCGCAATGCAGTTTGGTGAATTGTTGATTGAAGTTATGATTTTCCTTTAAAGAAAATCGCTCATTACAGCATGTGCAATATTGCATAAATTGTCGCAAAACATCAATGAACCAAGTCCAACTCCAGACCCCAATTTCCAGTTTTATGCAGAAGAAATACCTCAAGAAAATAATAGTGCTTTAAATACCAATAGTAGTGCTATAAGTAACAATCATAGCGAAAATTGTATACTATATTTTATAAATTTAGTTGAAAACCAAGAAGAATCTGATTTAAATACGTAGGATGTTAAAATAAGTATGTATGGTACACAGGTACCAAGCTGTCGGAACTGCCAAGAAAGCAATGATTTTGATTGGCTGATGTTGTTCACGCAATGTGGCGAACGGTAGATAACACAAGTCAACTCCCAGTTGAGGAACCCGAGGCTTAATAGTTTTTATAATACGCAAATGAAGTCAACCACCGGCTGAAAGTGAACCGACGGTTGGTCAGCCTTCGAGGTATCACGCAGAGGTGAATAAAGGCAGAATGGTCCAGACCATAGAGTAAGTAAAATAAGAGAGGTGGCAATCATATGGGCGTCCTTGTTACCGCGTTACGCAGGTAGCGCTGCAACTGGCTGACCGGCGACTGAC